ATCATCGGTAGGTCCATACTTGTCCTGCTGCTGCTGCTCTTGCTGCTGCTGCTGGTGCTGCTGCTGCTGCTGCTGCAGCTGGTACTAACGCAGTTGCTGCTGCTTCACTTGGAAAGGCTGCTCGTAGTGTTGCTGCTGCTGCTGCTGCTGCTGCTGCTGCTGCTGCTGCTGCTGATTGAGGGCCTGCTGGGTTGCTGCAGCTGCTGCTGCAGCAACACGGCATTAGCAGCATCTGAGGCTTACAACTGCTGCTCTTCTTCTCTCATTCTGTACGCTGCTGCTGCTTCTGCTGCTGCTGCTGCTGCTGCTGCTGTTGCTGCTGCTGCTGCTGCTGCAGGGCAGACGTGCGCGTGTCTGACGGAGTCTGGTTCTGTGCTGCTGCTGGATCTTCGTTTTCCTTCTTTGCTGCAGCAGCTTGCTGCTCCCCCGCTGCAGCTGCTGCAGTCTGTGCGTGCTGCTGACTCTTCTTCTGTCTCTTTTTATTATACACCTGGGGCCTACAGTGCAGTGTCTCCGCGGGTTGTTACGCTGCGCAAGTGCAGCAGCAGCAGCAGCAGCAGCAGCAGCAGCAGCAGCAGCAGCAGCAGCAGCAGCAGCGGGTGCAGCAGCAGCTGCAGCAGCAATAAAAACAGCGGTAATGTCAGCCCAGCTACCTGCAGCACGAGAGACACAGGAGGGGAGCTCTTGTCTTCGTCTCTGCCGTCGTTTGAATCTGCTGCTGCTGCTGCTGCTGCTGCTGCTGCTGGTGGCAGTGGCCCTGCTGCTGCTGCTGCTGCTGCATCTAGTAATGCAGCAGCAGCAGCTGCTGCTGCTGCTGCTGCAGGTCGAGCTGTAGCAGCAGCAGCAGCACGGCGTTTGCTGCAGCAGAAGGCGTCTTCTTCCCCTTGTGGTATTCCTTCTCTGCAGCAGCAGCTGCAGCAGCAGCAGCAGCAGCAGCAGCTCCTGCTGCAGCAGCAGCAGCAAGTCATCACAACACAACAAGGAATACATATTTCTTCTCTCGGTATTCGATCTGTACATACACCCCAAAAAAACAAAAAAATAGGAGCTGATGTTGCTGGCCTCCTGCATACCTGG